TTTATTTTACATGTTGAGTATTTATGATACGCATGTTTTTATTTCAATTGAACTAGGGTATTGAATCTGTTAGAACTCTACTTCTGTACAGTTTTGTTTAAGCAGTAGATACATATAAGCCCCTTAAAAAATAGCTGGGTATCTGGTGATTGATTTTGTAATTAAGTTTGTATATAGCTTTTCCTGGTTTTGATTTATGGAGTGAGGATGAGTTGATAAGAGAGACTATGATCAACTCAAAACAGTGGAACAGAATTCTTAAATATTTATCAATTTATTAGAGAGAGAGTAAACTGTGGTCCATTGGTTTATTCTCCAAATGTTGGCAGTGGCCAGGGCTAGGCACAAGGCTACAGCAGAAGAAGCTGGGAACTCAGAATCTCCGTGTAGATGACAGGGACTCAACTGCTTGATCCATCATCTGCTCCCTCTCAGGATGCACATTACCAAGAGTCAGGAGCAGAGCCATTACTGAAACTTGAATATGGCACTTGAGTATGGGTTGCAGACATCCCAAGCCACACGTCTTAATTGCAAGATAAAACACCTGCCCCTTTGAACTTCCTATTACAAATTATGGAATTCTTCTTTTCTTTCTATGTGTACATGCTTCAGAATGGTTGGAGGAGGCATTGTGATTCCTAATCTGCACGAGATTCTTTTTAGGGTACAACAAAATCAGACTAATCTTCATACTGACATTCTGAAATTTGTGACATCAGTTCAAGTCTTTTTCTTTATAGTTGTTATAAAGCAGGGTTAATAAAATGTCATATTAAAAACAAATCAGTTTATAAAATGGTGTATTTATAAAGCAAACTCATTAGGATAGAATTAAACATCTATATATTTAATAATAAAATCTATGAAAGAAAAAATTTAATATTATACTAGAGCCATCTTCTGGCTCAGAAAATAATACTATGTATTTCTAAAAAATACATTTTAAGCAGCTGAGAAAGATCAAAGATAACAATAGTTTAAACAGAAGGTTTCACTCAAATATTGGCATCTTAAGATTGTTTTACAAGTCCTGACTATACTTCCAATTCCATCTTCCTTCTAACTTGCACCCTGGAAGGCAGCACAGGATGGCTCAAGTAGTTGGATCTCTGCCAACCACATGGGAGACCAGACTGAGTTTACAGCTCCTGGCTCTGACTTGTTCCAGTACTGGCTGTTGCAGACATTTGAGGAGTAAACCTATAGATGGGAAGAGTTCTTTCTCTCTACCTTTAAAAAAATTTCAAGAAAGAAGAATTTGTAACATCGATTGGGAAGGTTTCTAACTAGTTTTCTTTTGGTATAATGAAATGCTTGAGGCTGGGCACTTTATAAAGAAATGGATTTACTGGGGCAGGCGCTGTGGCTTAGTGTGTAAGGCCACCGTCTGCAGTGCTGGCGGCAACCCATATGGGCACCCGTTCAAGTCCTGGCTGCTCCACTTCTGATCCAACTCTGCTATGGCTGGGAAAGTAGTAGAAGATGGCTCTAGTGCTTGGGCCCCTGCACCCATGTAGTAGACCCAGAAAAAGCTCCTGGCTTTGGATCGGCCCAGTTTGAGCCATTGCCACCATCTGGGGAGTGAACCAGAGAATGCAAGACTTCCTTTGTCTCCCTCTGCCTCTCTGTAACTCTGCCTTTCAAATCAGTAAATAAATATTAAAAAAAAATGGATTTATCTAGCTCACAGTTCTAGAGGTTTACAAGCCTGGTTTGAACATCTGTGTGACTCTGTTAAGGACCTATGGCTGTGTCCTAGCATAGCAGAGAAATGGAAAGGGAACTAGCCACACACAGAAGGGACCAAATGCATGAGACAGTCGTGTTTTATAATAGCCTGCTGTCACATCAGCCTACTCAATAACCAAGATCAGCACCTTCCCCTTTACTAATTACCTTCTATTATGCCCTACTGCTTAAAGGTAGCACCTCCCAACACTGCCACAGCAAAGACCTAGCTGCTAGCATGAGAACCCCAAATTATGTCTGAATGACTGCAGGATAAAATACATGCACTTTTATTAGGAATCAAATATTGTATACTTTTTTTTTTTTAGAAAGTCACACACTTTCTTATTTTGCAATGTCATGGCTTTAAGAGTTTGAAGTTCGTTGGATAGTAAGTGTGAGGTTCTTTGTTTTCTAAAGCCCTCAAATCAGTGAAAATTTTCATAGTAACTTAGTATATTTGATACCACAAAATTGAATTTTGTTATAAGGAATAATTATAAATGTTAACATATGAAGTAGTAGGTGAGCACTGCTTGATATACTTCATAGTATTTCTGTTTTATTCCCTGTTTGTGGAATCTAAAGTTTCTCATCTTTAGCCTTCTACTTCTTTTACACCATTATATGCTGTCATAAGATCCAGACAACAGTGAAAAGCTATGGTTGGCTGTGGAAAAAACTCACCTAGAGCTTAGAGTCTTGGTTTTGATATAGTCCGAGTTTTTCAGAGTCATTTATCTCTCTTTATATCCTGACCTAACCTCTTCTACATGTCCCTTTTAAGTAATGAGGTAAAGTAAAATATCCAGGCCTTGCTCATACGTTTCAAGTAGGTATTTGTGAAGTTAATCAATTTGCTTTTATTGATTTGAAAGGCAGAGCAACAGAAAGAGATAGCTGTCTCCCGTCTGCTGATTTATTCTCCAGATACCTGCAACACCCAGGTCTGGGTCAGGGTCAGGCCAAAGCCAGGAGCCAGAAACTCCATCTGGGTCTTCCACATGAGTAGTAGAGACACGAGTACTTGAGCTGCCATCTGCTTCATCCCAGGGTGCCCGTTAGTGGAAGCTGGATGGGACATGGAGGTGGGACTCCATCCCAGAAACCGAGATGAGCATTCCCAGTGGCAGCTGACTCTGCTGCATCTCAATGCCTGCCCCTCAAGTAGTTTTATTTATTATTTTTGTGAAGTATTGCTCTTACAGAACTAGCTCAATAGAGGTTACATGACGTTTGTCTCTCAGATATTTAAGCATGTCTTTCCCATTTCATCAAAGTTGAGAAATAGGGTTTCTAGTAATAGCATTCTTGTGAATTAATACCCAGCTGTCTAGCTGTCAGCAAGTCCATTATCTCATTTTTATTTTTCATAACCTACAAATGTTGCAGTGTTACTATGTAGGTTATTTCTTGGTTTTGGTTTAACTGTTTATAAATTTCCTTTCTATTCTTAGGATTTAAAGAGGAAGACAATTCTCTATTGTCACATTACTGTAGCTAGCCATAAGATGCTGTGTAATCCTACTTTACCAACGTGCATTTAAATGACTATTTAAAATTTTGAGAGAAAGAGAGAATGAGCTCCCATCTACTGGTTTATTCCTCCAATGCCTACAATAGCCAGGATTGTATGAGATTGAAGCTAGGAGCTAGAAATTCAATCCAGTACTTTCCTGTGCATGGCAGGAACCCAGTCACTTTTACTGTCACCACTACCTCCCAAGGTCTGCATTGTCAGAAATCTGGAGTCAAAAGCAGAGCCAGGACTCAGAACCATGCTGTCTATTATGGGATGTAGGCATCCCAACCAGCACCTTAACTGCCAGGACAAAAACCTACCCTGTATTCCAAAGTTTATTAATTCCCATGTAGCATACTGGTGGCAATACTGGAAATAGTAATGAAGGAAACATAACTCCTCCCACAGGGAACGTTCAGTGCAATGACTTTCAATTGGAGACAATCTAATCATTTTAGCCCTGGTCATGTTCATTTATGCTATGACATATGCTTGTATTTTCTTTTCAGGCATATTATCCTGAGACAAGGCTTTTCTTCATGTCCTTGCTTGATGATTATAGTAAATTCCAATGTTCTTTTAGGGTCAAGAAAGTATATGTCCATGATCTTGTAAAGATGACATATGCATCTTTTAGAGCATAATATATTTCTGAATTATGAGAAATTAATTGTTTCATTGGTTCCTACCTTGTAGGACAGTCGTAAATGAATGAAGCACAGGTTTAGCTTGACACATTTAAAGAGACCTTGAAGTAGAAGAAGAACCTTTAAATCTACTGAGAATGGTTCTTAGAATAATTTAAGAGGCAGTATGGGTGTTTTGTATCCTTGAAAACTCTTTGAATGGCAACTTTATATAGTAGATTATATTTAACTTTCCCTTACTCAGCTGTTTGGCAGAGTCCAAGAATTGTTTTATTCCTGAATTAAGAAGTCTGAAGTCCCATTGTGTTCTTGTTTTACATGCCTTTGCCTCTGTATGACATTGGCACACAAAGTGTCATTTCAAAAATATGGTCTCTTTAGCTCTCTGTGTCCACTAGTGCCCACAAGTTGGCACGTTTGTGGTTTTATGTTTATAAATACATCGCAGTGTTTTTCACCAGGTAAGGTACATGTTGTACAGAAGGCAGAGAACTTATAAATTTTCTTCATTATGTCCAAAAGATAATCCAAAAGACATATTTATGCCGGCATAGGTCTCCCTGCAGCTCTCCACACAGGGTACTGTAAAGGAGTTTATAGGACAGGTAACTTGATTTGATATAAAACAGAAACATTTTCTCATGAGTTCAATATAAATCATATTAATTTTTCCAATCATGTAAGTAAACTTATGAGTTCTGCCTAAAGAACTTCAAAGTTTCTTACAAGCAGTTTCATTTTAATTTCAGGTAATTTCGCTGTGAATATAATTTGTCATACTTATACCAAACCCTTTATGTGAATTTTGAATGTCATATCAGTGTTTTTTAAAGATCATTAATGTTGTATAATCTGTGCTTTTCTTGGATAAAATGATTGTCATAATCAGCCCATTATTATAACATTGTAACAGCATTCCTGAAATGTCCTGTTATGTGAAATAAAAAAGATAATGGTAATGATTCTAATAATAGGAGAATAATACAGGCATAAAAGGGTATGTCTACTGATACCTTGTCTTTACTTTTGTAGCTCTTGGTCTTGTTCAGAAGGCTGAAATCATTACTTATTCTTCTCTTATATTTTACTTCAATGTATAGGGATGTGAACTTATTTCAACTCCTGATCAAGACCACACTGACTTCACTAAGTGTCTTAAAGTGCTCCAGAAGAAGATTAAAGAAAAAGACCTACAGGTAAACCATGTACCTCCTTGGGGATTAAGAATCTTGTTTCCAGGTATTTGAAGGATCATATTTTAGGGTTTAATCATCTGAAATTATTTTACTTTCTTGGTATTTTTTTAATTTGGTTTCTTTCATAATATTATGTAAGTCTGTACTTAGCTACCAAAACGTGAATGTGAATACATATGTCAGAGGTCACAAATTGAAATACCTTATAAGATCATGAACTGGACTGTGTGAAAGTAAAACGGAGAGCTCATTCTTGCCTAAACTGAATAGGTGCTCTTGTTGACTGTCACCATGGAGAGCTCTCTGTTTTTATAATATGTGTGTTTGGTAGTGTGTGGCCAAAACAAATAGGACCCAATTTGGCCCAGGATCATCATTGAAAACTCTTAGGTAAACTGAGATCAACATTATTTTCTTTTAAGCCAGACAAGAATTTCCTGCTTTGTATTTATATACACTTGAAGATATTTAACAGTGACTTCCCCCTAGCATCCAAATGTTTCATCACCTTAGTTTGTTAATACAAAAATTTATATTTTGCTATGTTTTTGATATCTTTGGAGAATTTTTAAATCTATGTTTAATAATGGTCTACAAAATTAAACATGGAGCATTGAGTGACAGTTGACAACTTTTTGTCTAGCAGGGGCAGTAAGATAAGCTGAAGTACATGACCCATTGTGTAGTTTTAAAATCTAGAAGATATTCTTGCATACCAGAATGCTGTTGATCACAAAAATAACAAAATGTAGTTTACCCTGGCTTCTGTAGTCAAGTGACGGAGGGCAGCCTTCAGTTGGAATTGAATGAGTTCTCATGCTTTGTGTCTTTGGTTTATCTTGGCTTTGCTGCATAGGCTTTGTCTTCCAGCATATTTCTTGAGTTGTCTCCAACTGCACCTGTAGAAACCTTTGACCCTTCAGATGTAGGGAGCGGTAGGGGGTGAGTGGGTGTGGGTACATTGAATCCCTTCCTGTTGTCACCAGATGTAAGTTCTAAGACCTCTGCATGAAGCCACTTTTGAAGGGTAAGAGTATCCTATGTCTCAGTGTGGAGCTGGGAGTGGGATCAATCCACAGGGCTCATGGATTCAAACTCTGTGGCAGACATGCCTTTGGTGGGAGGGGGAAAGTGTCAGAGTGATAACTCTGACAAAAACTTACTCCCTAGCAAAAGTTTATCAAAGATTTACTCTAGCTAAATTGAACTAGTAAATCTTTCTCCTTTGAAGTAAAACCATGTTAACCATCATAACTAACAAGTTGGTTAGTCTCCAAACGCAGCAAAAATAATTGAGTGAACATCTTTCTTCTCTGAAGTAGCTGTGCTGAACTGTACTAAATGTATCATACTATTTTACAGCAATAAATTGCTATAATTAAATATTTGTTTATTGAAAACAGAAAATAGCCAATTGAATATAATCTATTTCACCCAGATATAGCTGATGTTGAGTTTCTTAAACAAAAATTGTCAGTCTTAACAACTGTGTTTTGATTTCCTCAGCATGCCACTGAAGTTATTAAAAGCTGGGGATACAATTATGTGAATTTCATTTGTTAAATCTAATTGATAGTAACTGTAATATTGTATGCAGTCATCAAGCCTCAAAACGAATAACTGTATCTCAAACTTAATACTCAAATCCTGAGAGAGGCTCACACTGAAATAGGGACTATAATCTGCAAAGCAAGTCTGACCAAGTCTTGACCAATCCAATGGGGAGTCCAGAAGCAAGAGCAGCTGTCAGAAGACACCTACACGGGGCAGAGAGCAACACCTTACCATCTACCTGCCTATTGTTATAGATTAGAGGCTGCTCAGGAGTATGGGTGTAGCCCAAAGATTGCCAGAGAATAATATGGACTTGGTGGCATCCCTCCAGGATCAGTTGCAACTGGGTGATGATACTGATCTGCCCTCTGCAGGGCCCAGCAGTGAATTCTTTCCTGGAGAGTGATGCAGTGTTGTGCGACGGCTGTCGCAAGGCCCCATGGCATGCTTTGGGCTCGAAGTGTTACCCACTGCCATTCGGCACCAGTCTTTCTTCTGCTTTCTAAAATATGCCATGTTCTCTCCTCTTCTTTTCTGCCTGAATATATTTTTGCACATGTTGCACCTCTGCCTAGAGTCCTATTTTTCCTTTTCTTCACCTAGAAAATTTTCCTGGCTTAACAACCCTCTAGGTTAGGTTTTGCTACTCTGCGTTTGCATACCCTCTCCTTTCTTCTTTAGGGCACTCTGAACACTTAGTCATTTTGGTAATTGCTCCTGATTGGCGGCCTGAAGTCTTTCCTCCAAGCTTAACTGTTTAGCCCTTGAAGTTGAGAGCAGGTCGGCTTGTACAGAAGTTAATGGCAGCACTTTCCATATAAGAAGGCTCTGTGAATGTTTAGTACATTTTACCATCAGGAGGACCACATAACACAACACACGGGAAAAGAGCTTCTAGAAAAAGCTAAGACCCATTTTAAAAAATGTAGTTAGATGTGTTGCCAAACAGCGCATTCGTGAGGCACTGCTGGTTGAGATGTCCTTGGGAGCCGCGTGGGAAGGAGGGAGGGGCCCCGAGGTTTATGCTAACGTCAGTCCCTGATCCTGCCCTCCTGCACTGCCCTTGGGTGGGTGCTTGCCTCCTAGCATCAGGTACCATTACACTGCTGTGGAAGGAGGAGGGTGAGCATCCACGAGAGGCCCCTTTCCATCCTGGGGCTATGCCAGTGCAATGCCACTGCCAGTTGCTTTCCCCTTCGTGAATCGTTCCCCCAATTACTGTTTACATTTTACCCAACAAAGTGCAACTTCTGGTGCCTTCTCTCCAATCAGTTTTTCCTCAGAGTGAGATGTACTCGTCTAGATTTCTGCCTTGTTTTGCAACATGGTCCCGCTACACAATTATTTTGGGCTATTAAAGCAAAATAAGTTGCAAAAAAAAATGTAGTTAGATGGCTGAGAAGCATGCTTCACGAAGTACTGTGGTGCACAGAGGATAGACAGTGCTTGATAACCACTACACAGCTCCACCTGCGTCCACTCGGGCCGGGATGGGCCTAAGAATTAAAGCAACGTGAGACAACAGGAGAGAAGCATACAAACTTACTTAATGCAGGCTTTATGTGGCACAGAGTCCTCATAAAGAAATAAGACTCAAAGAAGCACTTGGAGTCAGGTACTTATATAGTGGATTGGACAAAGATTAATAAATTATGAAGAAGCAATATGGGAAGGCTTAAAAGATAAGAGTTATTTTATCAAAGTCTGTACAGAATTATTTGACTCTTGACCTCTTGTCCTTGTGGTTAAAGACATTGCATCTTTCACATGGGAGTTCCATTCTCTGCTTTTAAGAAATAAGATGAAGCTCAGGGTGGTCTTTTTTGCATCTGCTATTATTGAGTGCATTTAATGGAAATAATGTACCAGAGTGGTATATTTTGGGGAAGCATATTTTTTAACTCCTTCAACTTCCATGAGCTAATGGCAGATAGTTCGAAATTTGTGTTGGGTGATTAGCTTAGTCTTTCAAAAAGCATGTTTTATGTATAGTAAAGGCTAAAAGTTACTCATAATTAAATCCAAAGCTAGATCTCATTCAGACTAAAAAAATGGTTATAAAAGATCTGCTGATAGAGTATTTATGGGCTTCCAATTGCCGTTCTGTTTCACGTAGAACTACAGCATTGTACTTGATTTGATACAATGGCAAAGGAAAAGGAAGAGTAAAAGGAAAATCATACGAGATTCCTCCCTATTGCCCTCCTACCTCCACATGAGATCTTGGGCCTTTTACAGCCTTCTTAATGGGAATAACATTGTGGGGCAGTGGGTTAAGCTGCCGGATGTTGCACTGGCATCCCATATGAGCACTACTTCAACTCCTGGCTGTTCCACTTCTGATCCAAATCCCTGCTAATGTGCCTGGGAAAGTAGCCGAAAATGGCCCAAGTCCTCGGGACCCTGCCACCTACACAGGACACCTGGATAGGATTCCAGGCTGCTTGCTTTGGTCTTGCCCAGCCCCAGCTGTTGGAGCCATTTCGGGAGTAAACCAGCGTCATGGAAGCGCTCTCTCTTTGTCTCTCTCTTTCTTTAATTCTGCCTTTCAAGTAAATAATTGTGCAAAAACAAAAATAAATAAAGGTTATTACTGAAGTACATATATACTTTATTAAATAATCACTTATAGTTCTGTAATAATTCCTATCAAATTATATATTTTGGTTTTTATTTTTTAAGTTGTAAATATGACTTTGTAATCTAAATGTCATAAGAGATTTTACTATAAAATGTTAATTACAATATAAATATGTGAAATGCCTAGTATCTTTAATATGTTAAGGAGCTATATTGTATAATATATTAGAACTTTTTATAATTTGGACAGGGTCTGTACTTGTCCTAAAGTAATTCATTATTGAGAACATGACACAAATTTTTAAAAATGTTCCGCAACATATATTCATTATTTATTTTGAGACTAACTGCTCTCAATGTCTATAGTTCTGTAAAAGAATTCTCTGACAGGTGTGAGTTCTTAATGTTTTGCTTTTATGTTGCCACCTTGATTACCTGTAACTAAGTAATGAATAATACATTGTCAGGATGCCATCTGACATAACTAACTCTTCAAAGGACACATACATCTTCTGATGTTGTGATGTGCACTTGATATCTAAACCCTGGGAGTCAGTGAGAAACATTAACAGCTAATTCTCCATGCATTTAGCAATGTAAGATGCTCATTCTTTACAATGTGGTAAAGATAAATCTAGATTATTAAGGACTAAAAATAACAAAATAGGTTTCCTTGGTATATTTACTAGTATTATATGGCAATAGAAGCAGTTACTTTAATTCCTAGTATTTTAAACACCAACTTTGAATAAGATAAAATTTGGGAAGAAAAGTTACCATTAATTTTAATCTGTATGCTTTTGAGATTTGGACCTTTACTAATTTTCTCTTGTGTAACTCCAGTTCCTTTTAACTCCCTTATAGCA